AGATGAGTTAACTAAAATAGTAAGTTATATATATATATATATATATATATATATAATATATTATTTTTTTTGTATATAATTCATTTTAATTTTTTTGGATTTATATGATTATATGGATTATATGTCAATTATAGATATTATCAGTACAAGAGAAAAAGGTTCGATTTAATTTCAATTCCCCAACGAAGGTGAAGTTTAACATTCAGACTCAGTTAATTTTATATGAAATAATAATAATAATAACATAAAAATAATAAAATTTTTATAGGATTTTAATAGTATCGAAAATAATTCTTTTTTTTTTCGAGATAAAGATATAATGCAATCGAATCTACAGAATGAAAAAAAGCAAGAGAAAAAAAATGAGGTATTATTTAAAAGGAATTTTCCTTTTCTATTTTTATATTTAACTAAATATATAACTAAATTATATATTTTATATTTAACTAAATAAACTAAGAAAAGTGTTATTTTACATAAATAGGATAAAGATGATTTCTTGCCGAAAAAAAAAATATTTAAAACGCGTAGTTATGGATTACGACAATATGGAACTTCAAAGAAACTCCAATTCGGAACACCTGGAAAAATTTCTAAAAAATAAAATTTTATAAAATATTATCATTATATAAAATTATTTAATTATTATAAATTAATATTTGAAAAATATATAATTTCATATAATATATACATTTTAAAGATAAATTTTTTTGTAATTGCTTAAAATGTATTTTTTCAATCTATTTATGTTCTTTTACTTATTTATTTATTTATTTATTTATTGATACTTTAGTAAATTATGCTAATATATAAATTATATAAAAATGTTAATTTTATAAGTTAAGTATTTTAAAAATATAAATAATCTAAAACAATTATTAACAAAAAATAATTTCTTAAATATCTGTTATAAACCAACATATTTATTAATAAAATATATATTTCAGATTCTTATTTATCGTTTATTATATATTTAAATACTTATTTTTTATTCATTATATTAAATTCACAATATTCAATCTTTATATATGCATTCATTCGAACAAAATATTGTTCATTGTTTATATATTTTTTGCTTTAATGTTATTTAATTCTTTATTATCATTCCTATTATTTACAGAGATATTTTGAAAATTTTAATTATTCATTAAAGTAGTAGAACAATCCCATTTCATAGATCTTTCAACAGCCATTTTCCATTTAGAATATCTCAAATCTCTTTCTAAAATATAAATATACATAATTATTAATATTTTTGTAAAAATATAAAATTTTTTCTAAATTTTTTTTCGTAAAAATTACCATCTTCTCCAATAGAGGGTGAAAACTTCGTAACTTGAGATGCATCTACATCGTTCACATCGATAAGACCGACTCCAACACCAGCTAATATAGCTGCTCCCAATGCTGTTGTTTCTACCATATTGGGCCGTACTGTTTAGATTAAAAAAAAAAATGATATTAATATAATATAATATAATATTAATATAATATAATATAGTATATATGTAGATATATATGCAATATTATTAATAAATTAATTCATAAAATTTTGTACACACCAACACTTATCCCTGTGAGATCAGCTTGTAATTGCATAAGTAAATTATTTACTGTCATTCCACCATCAACTTGTAAAGTTGTTAATTTTGTTCCAGAATCTTTAACCATTGCTTCTAAAATATCTCTTGTCTGAAAGCAAACAGCTTCTAATGCTGCGCGAACGATATGATATTGTTGTGTATCTTCAGTAATACCACAAATTACTCTAGAAAAAATATATGCAATTTATATTTTGGTATCAAAAATAATAATCTTTTAAGTGATTATTATTGTAATTTACTTACCCTCGTGCATCTTGTTGCCAATATGGTGCATATAAACCTGAGAATGCAGGTACAAAATATACATCTCCTGAAGATCTCACATGTTCTGCCATATCTTGAGATTGTGTTATATTATTAAATAGTTGTATATTATCACGTAACCATGATAAAGCTGCACCAGCTACAGCCACTGAGCCTTCCAATGCATAAGTTGCTGAATTTTTACCTATTTTATATGCAATAGTTGTTATAAGACCTTGTGTTGAATCTACTTTCTAGAATGATTAAATATTTAATTATACAAATAAATTAATTTTCAATAAAACATATAATGTGCAATAATATAATTAATTGAAATAAATACATACAATACTTCCAGTATTGTAAAGTAAGAAACAACCAGTTCCATAAGTAGCTTTTGCTTGTCCAGGCTTTAAGCACAATTGACCAAGAAGTGCTCCTTGTTGATCACCTACACACTTATATATAAAAATGAAATATGTTAATTAAATTGATAAAATTTTGAACAACATTAATATTTAAATATATTATTTTAATAATATACTCCTGCTATAGGTACACCAGCAAGAACTTCTGGATTTGAAATTGTTGCATATATTTCAGCACTAGATCGTATTTCAGGTAGAATATGCTGTGGAATTCCAAAAAATCGACATAACAGAGGATCCCATTTTAATGATTCAATATTCATTAGCATAGTACGAGATGCATTTGAAACATCAGTTATATGTAATTGTCCTTTGGTAAGATTCTATATAAAAAGTATAATTTATTAGTGAATAATTATAACTGTAATATTTTGTATAAAATAAAAATCAATAAATGAAAACATGCCCAAATAAGCCATGTATCAATAGTTCCAAAAGCACATCTCTCTTCATCTATAGCATGTTTAACACGTGGTATGTTATCAATTAACCAACGTATTTTGAGAGCACTAAAATATGGTGACATTGGAAGTCCACAAAGAGGTTTTAAATAATTTTTGTTTCTTGTTTTATTAGGTACACTATCTAATATGTCTTCCAAAGTTGTAGTAGTTCTCATATCCAACCATACTACAAAAAATTATTAATTTCATTTTAATAATTATATTTATATATTATATACATGCAAATATATTAACAAATAATAATTTAATAATAAACTATATATTGCATTTTACCTATTGCATTGTGTAATGGTTCTCCTGTATTTTTATCCCACATTAAAGTAGTTTCTCGTTGATTAGTAATTCCAATTGCTTTGATATCTGATACAGTTATATTAATATCTTTTAGCTTTTCTATTGTTTTTTTTATGCATTCTATAACAGCTTCCAAAATTTCTTTTGGATCTTGTTCTACCCATCCTTCTTGTGGATATTTTTGTTTAATTTCAATTTGATGTGATGCTAATACTTTTCGATGTAATACATCAAACACCTAAAAAAAGATATATTATATTATATTTTATATATTTTATATATTTTTATTATATATTTACTTTATTTCTTATTTTTATATAAAAATCCTAACATTGTGAAATAAAATTATTTAAAATTTTATCATGAATGAATCATGAATAAAAAACTAATAAAATGAAATAACTTTAATATTGAAAATAAATTAATTAAAAAAAAATTGTATAAAATATTTTCTTACAAATCATAAAATAATATTTATTATATATAAATTAATATTCCAAAATATTTTTCTATATATATCATAAAATATATCATAAAATAAACATCACATTACATGACTATGTCGAAGGTCAAGTTTCATTCAGATAACTTGACTAGGTAGTTGTCAGTTATTTTTATTGTTTGAACTTAAACATAAATTTACTTACTAAGAATCTA